AAGTTGAGTGAATATCAGTCGATTGATCTGGACATTGTATGTGGAGTGCCTCAAGGTTCAGTTTTGGGACCTAAATTATTCATACTATACATTATACAGTCTAACTTCTTCCTACTCCGTTCAAGCATGTACTAGGTATGAGCAAACTGAAAATATATTTGTGGATATGTGTGGAATTATGTGTGTTGACATATTGACTGTTGTTACATGTTTGAAAGAATAAATCAAATTAAAAAAAAAAAAAAAATACTTTAAAGTTGTTTTAATGAATGAATGTATATTAACAGTAGAAAAAGTGAAATATCACCTGACTCTGCTGTTCTTCTCAACCCTTCTGAGCATTTTAGCACCTTTTAGCTAATTATTTTGGTTTGACAGCTTACAGCTTCACTGTTTTGGTTCACTCTCACCCTTCACATGGCGTTGTTTTCAGTGAGAAACAGACTGACTGAACAACAGACAGACATTAGTAGCTAGCCGGTGAACACAGTGGAGCTTTTAGCTGTGAAGACGTTTATCCGAGCACTTAGTGAGGACCATAGACTGTAGAAAATATGTACATCCTGACAGCTCCCAGAAGTGAAGCCACCGCGGCGCGGTCACCCCCTGTTTGCTAGTCGCAGTATAGGTCATAAACCCCGCCTCCTCCATGTTAGTGGATGGAACATGAGAAAGATTAAAAACTGAAAGTACAAATCAGATACATTTTTTCCCAGAGGTCACTTCTGTGGTTTTTGGTAGATACAGTCATGCCGATATGTGTAAAATGGGCATTTTTCTGGTAAGTTTGTTTTTAATAAGTTATTTGATGATATAAAAAGAGGTGTATTTCAATTGATTTCACAGCTTTGATTGGTGGTTTGATGCTGTCACTCTGCTTCTGGTCTCTACTGAATAGAATCTGATCAAAAGCAAGATGGCAGCCACATATTCATAATATATTGGCTTCATTTTCTCATATTGGAGGGAAGTGGCGATGCCATGTCCATTGTATGTATGCCAATGGCAGAGGCCCAAAACAAAGACCTTTCTAGTAGAGTCACATAGTATCTGCCTGAGTGTGCTGTGCCCTGGCTCCAGTAAACTGTGCCTTTAGCACTGTGGCTCCAATGATATGATATGATGGCACAACAGTCTCTGAAGCATAAATGCCCAGAACAGCAACAACTGAAAAACAAAAGAGCCCTGGTCCACCGCTGTCAGACATCCGCAGCCGGCCAGTTGCCACAACAACCTCTCTACTAGGGACAGAGGAATGTCTGGCTGGGGTTCAGAAGCAGCAGTGCCCCGGGAGCGTATATGTCCTGAACTGAGGGGGTTGCTCCAGTTTTAGCAAAACACCCCTACATTGGCATAAAACCAAAGGCTCCAACTCTTCACAAAGCGCTAATGGACTGTCCCATGGGGTGACTTGAGGAGATGTGGGGGCTGAGATGAGGGGAAATTAAGTGTCAGGGATGTGTTTGTGCACAGACAGCTCAGTGGGGATATGCTTACTATTGCATAACCACTGAGATGAAATAAAGGCATCGGTATTGGATGCTGTTAGAAGAGCCATAACGTGGAAACAGTGTCGTGACCTGTTTTTACCGCCGCACTGTGCTGAGATTTCCATAACTGGTTTTACTTTTCCACCAGGTAGTTAAAGTGTACTCACAGGCTGTTAACAATTGTCAGCTAACTCTATGTTGAGGTCACTGAGTTACAGACCAGATCCAGTGGGGATTAACGCTTATGACCACAGCAGAGATTATCATACATGTCATTTCAAATGATAAATTTAAACCTTACATACAGCACTGTATGTAGCTGCCATCATGTATTATCGCTCACTTAGATGAAGCATATGAGACAAATGCTTAACGCGAAAAGTACAGCAAAATTTCTCATCTTACCTTTGATGTTTTTATGTAGAAAAATAAGTTTTTCCGACGCAAACACTGCATTTTCTGACTCAAAAGATGGCGTCTGTTTGGAAAATACCATTATTTCTAAATTAGGGGGGTTCTGGCCAGCACCAATGTAAACCTGTTTCTATCCAGCCAGAACCCCCCCCCGACCTTATGGTGCAGTCTTATCGACTGCCATTGGTCCACGATGATTTCAATCACGTCACAAACTCGATAGCCTCATTCTATTGGTCGAGAGGAATCCAATGAGGGGTCATTTGTCTGTGTGCGGAAATCTGGGACCAAGCTATTGTCATGCATACGAGGAGATGGTCAGCTCTAACTGTGCCGTGTTCCATCTTTATTTACTCTTCAACAACAAAACATAGAATGGTATTTACACCTCCTGACAAATCTCACAAGTGTTCCCTTTCGTTTGACACCAAGAGTAACCAAATACACCGTGTGGTTGCGGAGATATACACATTTTATTTCGTGGAGGCGTCATCGATTTAAATCCCCCAAACAGGCTTCGGGCTTTTAAATAGCACTCTTTCAGTCACCTGATTTGCCACAAGTTGCAATGCAAAAAATAAATACATAATAATAATAATAATAATAATAATAAGACGGATGAAAGTCTCAGCTCAGCCCAGGGGCTCAGATGCTGACAATTAAAGGGCCTGTGATGCATCTGTGTCTCCCTCATTCCTGCACTGTCTTTATCAAATAAAAGCATAAAATGTTTAAAAAGTATCACAGTGAAGTTTGAAGTTTTCTTGCTGAGATGAAATCAAAAGGACACATCACTTCAGAAGGTTGGACTGTAGCTTATGTGCATATTCAATTCAATTCAATTTTATTTGTATAGTGCCAAATCACAACAAAAGCCGTCTCAGGACACTTTACAAAGTAAGGTCTAGACGTTATTATTATTATTATTATTATTATTATTATTGTTATAGAGGAAAACCCAACAAATCCCCTTTAAGCAAGCACTTGGTGACAGTGGGGAGGAAAAACTCCCTTTAAAAGAAGAAACCTCCGACAGACCCTGGCTCTTGGTGGGCAGCCTTCTGCCTCGGCCAGTTGGGGTGAGTCCTGTTAACAGTACATGTCTGTCTGGGTCTGCAACTTAAAAATCCTCTCTACTGCTCACAGCTCTAAGTGCATTTGCCAGTAAGAAAGGGGGAGCGTGCCCCCTCGAGACACTAGCAACCTTATTAAGATGATCTGCAGCTACGCTGTGACCTGCTGCAGCCTGAGTCCGACCAGAGCTGTATGAATAGAACGTGTCTGCACTAGTTACTTTAGCATCATTTCATTCAAACTGTCCCTGACACTTTTGCTGAGAAGTGTTTTGATTTCTTGAATATTTGATTTATGTGTTGTTTCATAATCAGGAACATTTGCCATGAAGGAAAGTGAAAGTGTAAAATCACACAGTAATTAGTACAGACATGAGGTAACACAGCCAGCTGAGTGTCTGGCCTTACATAAGAGCATGTTGACTGTGATCTGGACATAAGGATTAGCACTCTGTCCCATGCACAATAAGCAGCCTGCGATCTAGCTGGACAGCCAATCCTGACTCAGCATGTTGGGTTCCCAGCCTGTCGTGATGCAGCTTTGTGGAATGTTGTAGAATGATTCAGGTTGACACCTGAGGAGTATGTCTAATCTGTGATTAGCACAGTTCTCTGGAACCCCTTATCTATATTCATGCTCTTCCTGACTCAAATGTTCCAGATATTTTACTCTTTCATTTCTCTGTCTCCACTAATTCACTGCTCTTTCTACTCCCTACTTTGTCCTGTCTCACCACCATCTCTCCTGGTCTTTTCATTTTGTTTTTTATTTGACTATTCTACTATTCTACTACTATTCTATTCTTGTTCACGAGTGAGGGAAGGATGGAACAGGAGATTGACAGGCAGATCGGTGCAGCTTCTGCAGTAATGCAGTCGATGTACCGGTCCGTCGTGGTGAAGAAGGAGCTGAGCTGTAAGGCGAAGCTCTCGATTTACTGGTCAATCTACGTTCCGACTCTCACCTATGGTCATGA